GGCCAATACGTTTGGTCACGATATATTATCTACCAGTGTGCGCAGTACTTGAATACTTGTGATAACTTATATCTGCTGTTCTTGTGCGTTGGTTGAAACGTTCAAGAGTAGAATTTATGATTTTTATTTTGGCTCTGGCTTTGCAGGGCGTCCGATGTGATTACTTTTTTATAATCTTGGCATAACTAACTGATTTATTTCAATCTCTTGATAGTTGCATATATATATTTGCGTGCAGATTCATATTGAATTTTCTATTATAAAACCAGTTGTGAAGTAACTATTAAGCTTTGATTTTTTCATTTAGAATTACCTATTTCTTATCCCTGATTTTAGAAAACGTTCGGCTTCTTACAATTTTTCATGCATATGATTGTATTAAGATGCGATGGCGACAGAAACCGAAGTCGAAATACGCACTGCTTGACAAGCTTATACGCTATGTGGAAATGTTTCCTGCTGTTCTTGGCTGGAGTGTTCTCATCTTCGGTCATCTCAACTATGTGTTTTTTATCAGTGGTATGTTCCAAACTTCTTTCAGGCGAGTTTACATTCGAATCCCTATTCAGTACATGATGTCTATTTTCCCTTTACTTCTGTATTTGAATTCATAACCGGATTTCTACACACTCATAAGCGGTGTTATTTTATATAGCTATATATGTTCTTCACCTCCAATTGTGTTGGTATAAATAGCTATTGTGCTATGCATACTATACTAATTTACATTCAGTTAACGCGGCTCCTAGTTGTTCAATTCATTTTTGAGCATTTTTTTTTTCAAATCCACAACTGGTAGGTGCGATCACGAGTAGCTGGGACTCCAGGGCATTGTTGCTGATCTTCCATACACTTTTGGGTGGGATGGTATATTGGTGCTATGTGATGGTCATGTTCACCAAGCCGGGGCAGCCATCAGTGGATGTATGTTTTGAGATTTCATTGTTTTGTTGCCGTGTTGTGCTTGTTCACAATAAAGCACTGAAACGCAATACATTCATGTGCGTTGCGTGTGATATGTTTTACCAGTGTATTTACCATACCCTGTCCCCATTGTTTTGGAGTTACAGGTAGAAATATTGACAAGTACTCTGGCCTATAAAAAACACAATGCTACAAACATGTATCCACATACGAAGACACACCACGGCACATGCATATGCATATCCGTACTTACGTATTTATACCTTATCTCTTTGATATCTCATTACATCAGATTACTATGCGCTCTCAATACTGCATCCGCGCATCTCTCAACTACTTATACACCTCCCACTACTTATACACCTCCCTATGCATCTCTTGCTTCTCACTATACCAGTTTATTGTGAGCTCTCAATACCACCTCGTTAATCTGCGGTACGAGTTTGTCGCCCTGGCAGGTACTCTGCAGTACCCTCCGGATTGCCCCTCAATGACCCGAGAGGACAATCTGGGTCTGCGGTACTGCCTCACCTGCAACAATTTAAAACCGGGTACGTCGCTGAGTGTGTGCACTATAAACCTCACCGATGTACGCGATCGTCTGTATGTGGATGTGCATATGAAATAAGCGTGAAATAAGCGGTAGTATCGGGGTGGGTGTGTATATCGCGCGCCTGTGTAGTAGTATTGTGAGTGAATTATTGTATGAATGGTGTGTGGGACTTTGCTGGTGTATAGTCACACTGCAGGCCTCGATTAGCCAACTCGGGTGTTCGGACCCGAAGGTATTGCCATCGTAAATTCCAGCTCAAAAATTGACCACCTGTACCACTCCTGCTAGTACTGAACTGAAGGCTGTGTATGACTGCACAGTGTAACCACTTACTTTTATGTGCGAAACGGCAGTAGAAATGTTCAGATATTGGGTATGGAGTACGTTTTACCGCACACTTGAATACAGAAGCGCAGGACACACAACCGACACAATACAACGTAGTTGGTTCTGGAACGTACTACTGCTCTGCTTCTCAACTAGATTGTATTCCAATGCACGATTGCAAATACCACTGCAACACCTACTCACGGACGCGCACGGTCACACACAGGACACATTACACACATGCAAACCCCAGGGCACATCAGTCCATCTCAACTATGATGTTTCACCGAACATTTTCTACGCAGATCGCATACACCACTGCAACCACACACCCATCGACACTCATTCACACAACGCCCATTGACACATACTCACACCCTTGCTTCCCATCTAGTTTTATCTATCGTCCTCATCCGGCCTATCATTGCCTACGCAGATCTCACACACTCTTGCTTCCCATTTAGCTTTGTCGATCGTCCTCATCCGGCCTTTCTTTACCTACACAGATCGCACACACCACTGCAACACCTGCCGGCAGTGTGTACTGCGCATGGACCACCACTGCCCGTGGATCGCCAACTGCGTGGGATTTCGCAACCACAAGTTTTTCTTCCTGTTCTTGTCTTATGGTACCATGCTAGCGTTCTTCTATACCTGCAGTACCGTGGTACCGTTTGTGAACTTCCTGGACGCGAGCATACACCCGGACAAGGGTATCTCGCCTGATGGTATGTAACTGACACATTTTTTCTAGACTAAGATATGAATCGTGTATCGAGAACAATGTGCATATACCGATTGATTGTTGGTCTATTTACTGTTTTTTTGTGGATTTTGTGGACTCGAGCACACACTCGTACAAGGGCCTTTCGCCTATTGATATTTGGTCTGTGCAATCTCTCAGACCGAGACAAATTAACAGTGTATACATAAGGGAGGATATTTTGAACCGTGACATACGTGGCATTGCGGCCGCTGGCTCGTCGCATTCTACAGTGAAATTGCGCGTTACCCTTTTGTGTTATGTTTACTCGTGTTGCGGATGAATGCAAACAATTCCATACGAGTGCATTGAACCTGAGAGCATGCAGGAAAGTGGTCGTTCCAGCTCCTCCGTTCTATATCTGGCCTCATTGGAATGGAAAGCTTTTTCTGTCTGATTGTACGATGCAAGCAATGATCACGATAGAATCTATTCAGAACCGTATCTAACTCTAATCGTTCTACATCACACATGCAACACGTCCATACAGCTGCGGCGGGTGGCTCGCCTGGGTTGATGGGATCTCAATTCATATTCGGCATCATGTTCACAATGGCTTTAAGTCTGATGTCCCTTATGCATTTCTTCCTTATTCGACGCAACGGGTATGTGGGTGATATGAATCGGTCCGTGGGCAGATATATGTATGGTGTTCTTGTTATCTTAGGCAGTTCCCGTGACGTGCATACCACAGTCCGTTGACATGACATTCAATTTGGCCCTCGGTTAAAGTTTCTCAACTCCCGAGATATATTTGGACTGGGCTCCGCTGACTTATTGGAGCTGTAGGTGTGCTGCTCATCAAAACTATACATCCACTACTGCCTCTCTATTTAGCAATCGCACCTCAATCATTTTGTCTTTTCACAGCACCAGCCACGAACACCACCGGTTGCCGCGATTCATTGTGCCGATAGCGAAGAAAAACGGCTTTGATCTCGGCAGCAAAGAAAACTGGGAAATGATCATGGGTGTAGATCCCAAGTATTGGTTTCTGCCCATCAACACAACGTATGCCATCATGCGCTATTACTCTCAAATTATAGTCAAGCACCGACGCCATTCCCATATGATCGCGGGTGCAATGAGATTTTGCGGCAAGCATTAATCCATGTTGGGTCTGCCTTTAATCTAGCCAGCTATGCTATGATAACTCAGAGTATTATAAAATGATCCTGGTATTTAAATACTCCTCACTATATATACCCTTCAATAGGAGATTCAATGGCCAGTCCTTCCCGGTGCGTGGCCCGGATGAAGAAATGGGAGATCTGGAACACGGTAGTCTATTAGCCAAGGATCTCGACGACTTGAACGCGTCGGATAATGACAATGAGTTCACCAGTGTCAGCCCTCGACCCGGGCACGCTTGACCGACGAATGTACGACAAGGTGAAATATAGTATATAGATGGGACGACAATGGAAGCTTCGGATACCCATAGCCGGCAACTTGCATGTGAAGATAGACAGTTAGCGTTTGCTAGTTTCAACTTGCTTGTAACGATAGACAGATAGCGTTTTCTAGTTTATTAGTCCCGCAGCGCCGTTGTGTTGTCGCACATTGCCTGCACACTTTATGCGAATTCAGAGACAACCTCCCTGGAGCCACCTGTTCGTGCGCAAGCTTTTTAAGGCATGTCGACATGTATTGGTTGATTAGGAAAGACGAAGAGTGGTGAAAGGATGTGCCTAGAATGTGTTGAAGCAAGAATGGTATGCAAATGGAAGGAATTCGTTCAGGCGTATACACTTATACGATATGGGAAAGCTCGGTGTATGTACTGCAGCACAACCTTAGATCGAATACTTGCAACACACTAGTGTATTTGGCAAGGGCATCTTTGAATACCCTTGTGCATTACATGCAATTTACCACACATGGCCACTGATACGCAAGTTAAAATAAGAATCTGCTAGTACTGTCGAGAAGAAACGTACCTCGATATGTTTTATATACAGGTGTTTTGCACACCTCCCAATAGTTGCTTGAGGTTGAGCAACCTTCTGGCCGCGCAGATAGGTAGAGCAGAATCAAACAAACGAAGATGAGAGTAAACACATAAAAATGGTTGTGGCCATAGTAGAGAGGGCACAATTTACTGTTGCCAATAGCTTCTGAGCTGATGGTGGGAAGAAGATTTGCCGCCGCATATTGTCGCTCCGGTTGTAAGCGAAAAGCAAGTTCTGGACCGAGATAAATTGTGTTAAAAATATCCAAGCTGCTAGACGCCCCGATACATACACCGCACAAACACATCCTACTCGAAGGAATAAAAAGGGTATGTGGTTAATAGTTCAGATCGTAGTTCATAATTCTGCGAAGAGAAAAATATATGGACAATACAAGTGTCGCTGAGAGTTGAACGAGATATCAGGAACAGCGTTTGTAGTGCTTCTTGTATTTAATTTTTCACTATCAAGCATAGTTCAATACACTCTCGACTAGCGCGCACCACCCTCGCAGTGACATCCAAAAAATATTCAGGCAGAACGAGAAACTATTTGATTTTCATGCGGGTCGTTTGTAGAAGATTTCCCATAAAAATATTCCCTGGGATAATTTTAACCAATATGAGCAACTAGGTAGTACTATTAGAGGAACAGTAAAATATACAATATGGACAACGATAATACTTTTAACCAGTACATATGAACAACCAGGCAGTACATACTATATTTTTAGATACATAATAGATAATTTTATCGCGCACCCTTGCACTGTTTGCAGTGGCCTTCGAAGTTTTTCAGGCAGCGAAAATCTAAACAGTTTTTTTTTTCATTCCAGTGTCTGATTTTAGAAGGCTATGCCAGGTCGTTTGTATTTAGAAGGTTAATAAAACATCAACTGGGCACTGGTGTCGACCGCCACATTCTAGCGTTTTGACAGATCACAATTATTCCATAGTCCACAAGGCATAAGCGGTATAGAATGACTGAATAAATATGTACATGCTATACTGTATCAGGTATGCCAATGGTGAATTGGTATTTAAAATCGTACAGACATAGTCGGCGACTTGGCTGATGGCTCTCCATCGTCTATAAAAAATAATCCCTGATGTACATAAAGTGTATTTATTTATATTATTTTCGGTGGACAATTTTATCCAATATGAACATTGAACATCGACAATATTAACCAATATGAACAACCAGGTAGTTCTAGAAAATCAGTAAAATTAACCAATATGAACACCGAACAATGGTAATATTAACCAATATGAACAATCAAGTAGTACAGAAGATTGATTTATTAATGCTCAACAACTCGATAGAATACAGAGTATCAGAAATCACTGAATCAGAATACTAATTTTGAGGACTGAGAGTACATATTTACATGAAAAATTCATGTTTGAAAAGAGGCTATCACTGCATTCTCGCAGGGCGCAGGGGCGCAGGGCGCAGGGGCGCAGGGCGCAGGCTCGCACGTCGCAGGCTCTGTCTCGCAGTGAAATACGGGGGGAGGTTTCCAGGCAGAGCGACAATAACTTTTTAATATTGCCAGGTCGTTTGTAGAAGGTTGATAAGACGTCAATTGGTCCAACTGGCCACTGGCACTAGCCACCGCCACCTGTACACCACCCTCTTGTGTTTGAGTCTTGATAGACCATCACGATTATTCCATAGTCCACACAAGAGACCACAACAGGCTCTAGAGTGTTAAATAAGTACATGCTGACTGCCGTATATGGTAATTTTACAGACATTCTGACCTAGTCAGCGACTTCTTGGCTGATGGCCCTCATTATCATAGTCTCAACTCTCCAGTCTCAACCTCATCAGCCTCTCAATCGTCCATAAAAATAATATCTGTACTGCTGTAAATACATACATATTTGGAGAGACAATTTGTTCCAGTATGCATACTTGGTTCACTAATTTTCAGAAGGCTATAGCCTATGGGCCTATGGCATACTGCATAGCCTTCTTTGCTGAAAAATCAAAAACAGAACAACGTCAATATTTTATTATTATTAAAAACCAATATGAACAACGACTAGTAGCGTAGGTACTACAGAGAGAACAACAGTAATTTAACCAATTGAATACCCTATGTAGCACAGAAGTGAGAGGACATGAGAGAGTACAGAGTAAATATTTTAACGAGCATAGATAAATTTTAAAATATAAAGTTAAAAAACTATTAAAAAAAATACATAATATTGAAAAATTGGACAAATATTGAGTTACATATTACTTTTTATTTCCTCACAATGCTCAGTGCTCTGTCAATGCTCACACCTTACGGCCTTAGGCTTATGCCTTACGCCTTACGACATACGCTATACGGCTTTACACCTTTACAGTTTACAGTTGTACGCTGTACAGTCACAGTGGTCAGTGACTCAGTGTACACTTTATTTACAGTGTGCAGTGTGCAAAACTGTAAATACTAAATAGTTAAAATATTTGTGACTGTTGTGTGTACTACTACTGAGTAATGTGTACTCAGTATGGTGCACCGAGTTCTGACTACCGTGTCCACTCAACGCTGTACAGAGTACAGACTACAGTCTACAGAGTACAGACGACCGGTATACACACTAATTACACAGCAAGTCCAGGTCTCTAGGACTCCAGGTCCCAGGACTCCAGGTCTGAGGTCCCAGGAGTCCAGGGTCCAGACTTCAGACGAAGTCCAGACTCCAGAATCCAATCAATCCGCTGGAGGCTGGCTGTCAGCCGCCAAAGGACACCGGCCCAGCTATTTATTTAGTCTAAGACTCCCAGGCGCTGAGCGATAAAAAAATACTAAAGCATTGTAGTAGCAAACTGTTGTAGTCTATATTTATTTGATGTAATATGTATGTTGTATGATTGGAAGAGGCAGTCATTCACATTGGAAACCAAATGAAACCAACAGTTGTTGGTAGTTTTAACAATTTTGGCTAATCTGAAACTGTTAGTTCACTGGTCTACACTCTTTTAATAATCTTCCTGACGCTCAAGTGGCCAAGAGCCCCTACTCCCTACTCACTACAACTCCACCAGTTCCCCACCGTGTGCCCAGGGCCCCAGAGCCACAGTGAGAACTTTTAGCTCAGAAGTTAGACTCAGAACTCGGAAGTGAGAAGGCCTGTGAGTCTGTGACTCGTGAGGCTGTCAGGCTCAGCTGCGGGCCTGCGGCTCTTTTTCTCTCTACAACAAGTCTACATATGTGATAGGTTCCCTCTCTTTACTCTCTCTCTCTCTCTCTCTCTTTCAGACTCTCTTTCTCTAGAGAGTAGTAGACTACTAGGAGTAGTAGTTAGTAAATAGCGAGAGAGTAAATACATAGTAATAACTAGTACATACATGCAGCGTCCCAGAACCCAGCCCCCAATTCCCCCCAGCGGCCCAGCCTCAAAGCTCAAAAGTTCCTATTCCCCAACACCTGTACGTCTGCTGTTTGACTAGTTTGAGATTTTGAGTCATCACAATATCACACCGTCAGCACTCAGCAACGGAGACTCTGTCATGACCTGTCATTCACTTTTTTATATCCAATACGCCGTCGAAAAACATAAATATAAAAACAAACATTTTAAAGCATGAAAACACTAAAATTGCTTCCTCTCTCTAGAAGTCTATGAAAGGAATCGGTACGAAATTATTCTTACCATAATCGTGCACTATTGTTTTGAGGGAACGATAATCTACCAACATGATGTCGGAACAATACAATGAGCTTCATTTGGAAAACATGGTAATCGGGGGAGATCAAAATGTCACTATCAAGTCTGCGCAATATAAAGGTACAGAACAACGTGACGAGAACTTTATCGATATCGATAGTACTAGTGTCGAAGAAGTCGACGTCGACAATAGTACAACACAGACACCCGTGCAGTCAAAAGCCTGGACGAGATTTAAGGAGCTGGAAATGCGCGTTAATGCTGGAGAATTGATTGTTCTGGACGGTGCTACAGGCACAGAATTGACAGAGCGAGGAGTTAGTGCCGAACAACAGTGGAACGGGTGGCCGGCACAATTATTCGTACCTGACGTAGTCAGAGACGTACATCGATCATATGTAGATACCGGCGTAGATATCGTCACCACCAATACGTATGGCACAAACCGGCATGTGATCGGCGATGACGGGTCGATCTCCAAGGAAAGCCTGGATAAGTCTAATATGCTGGCTGTAGAATTGTGTCGTGAAGCGATCGGTGATGAGAATGTGCTCGTTGCGGGCAGCATGAGTAACCATCCGCCAGCAATTTCCAAAACCGTGCGTGAAGTCTCCGTAGATGATGACAAAAGCATTAATCTAACTGAAATAGGCGATTGGCCTACACCACTGAAAGAGCTCAAAAACTATCGCGAACAGGCATCAAGTTTGGTAGCCGGAGGGGTAGACATCCTTTTCCTAGAGATGGTTAAAGATCGTCTCCATGGCGAACTCCTCGTAACTGCTGCTATTGAGACAGGCCTGCCGGTTGTTATTGGACTCACTCTGACTGTACTAGAAAGTGGTGCCGTGGTGGCTAGAGACGATCAAACGTTTACTGTAGAGGAGATGATACGTCAATGGAGAGTGCACCCCAACGTCGTTGGTTTCTCAGCAATGCATATTAGTGCGAATGAAACTGAAACACACGTGAAAGCCATTCGTTCATACTGGGACGGCTTTATTGCAGCATATCCTAATCAGGGCAAGTTCGTGCCTCCTAATTGGGAAATCTGTGAGCCTATACCTGCAGCTGAATATCGTGAGTACGCTATCAAATGGAGACGTGCTGGTGCCAATGCCATTGGAGGATGCTGCGGCATCGGACCCAAGACTATTGAGGAAGTGAAGTCCCTTTCACGAGAAATCAACCAGGCAATTACGCAGGAAAGACAGGTCGCATAACCATGTTATGTGTACAGGCTGATATAAGCACGCATCTTTCTTCTCGAGCACATTGTTTGAAACGGATGCTGCTTTAGAAAACACAGCAAACAAATTGATAATTTTTCACCAGGCGGGGTAGATACTAAGCGCACTTTCCCTAGATCGTAACACTACAAGATCAGGGATATAAATTATACATATAAGTAGTAGTTGTATATATATATATATATATATTATAAAATAATAATAATAATAAAGGAGGATCGATATCTGAAGACTGTATGAAGGTCTGAATTAATTGATTTGAGTAAATTGTACATGATACTTACAATATTGACTAGGTTGCCATAATAAGATCTTGTGCGGTTTTAAATACTCACGAATGGGTTCTCATTTATACAAAAATTTACTACATACAGCCAGAAGTTGTTGATAATAGGCGTATTAATTTCCGGCCAACCACGAAGTCAGATATAAAGATGTTGCTCGGTGTGGTGGGTTTAATTATATAGAGCAAATAACTGCGTATGTTAGAGATGCGGATATGTACAAAACACATCCCAAATGAAGACATGCAGTGGAGTCGAGGCTGCACAAGTAGTACAAATTGTTTTATTTAGAAGGTTAAATAAAAATCTGAACTCTTCGTCATAACACGAGGTTGGCTTCTGCACATAAGCAATAGGGCTTGGCTGGACAACGGAACGTTTGTACTCAAATAAATCAATCCGTACAAGGACAGCGTATTGCCAAAACAAAAACCGCACATGCGCACAGTGTATTGTCAAACGACAAGCACACCGGGACGGTTTGATCGCGAAACGATACATAGATGTATATTACTCTAAACATACGGAATAACTAAATTGTCTAATGAGGACAGACTATCAGACCATTATTCCATCTCAACATGGGAAGTTATATATCATTCGCATTCTGACCGCATACGAATTGCAAGCTGAGCTGTCAGGCAAATTTGAATACGATTTCAAGCAGACAATGTTCGGCACGCCAATTTTGTTTATTTCGCTAAGGTATGTTGTAGTGGAAGACTGACTAGTATACGCCGGGTACCTAAGCATGTGACCATCTATAAGCGCTTATTTGCTCTCCTCTGCCATACGACTCATTGCGCTCAACAATGTGTCCATCTCCGCATGTATGCTGTAAGCGAGTGTCTTGAGTTGCTTCTGACTGTTAATAACCTCTACACACTCCGTGTAAGGGTTATAGCGGACGGCAAAACTTCTGCTCAGACTATTGCCGAACTCCTTGAGCTTCTTCTTGGCATCCTCAAAACTTTCAGCCACAAAGTATGTGGGCTGGAACTCGGTCACAGGGTATTTGGTCAGTGAAGTCGTTTTGGGATCGAAATCTAATAATTTGGGCTTGTCGGTTAAGCAGTACTCTAACTCGCCGAACGAGGACAGTAGACCCGCACCATATGCCCTAATCTCATCGCCTTCCCTACATAGCCCAAACTCAATTGTAAACCAATAGCATGTTGCTAACGTTTCGATATCTGCATCACTCACACCCAGAGACATTAACCCAATTTCCTGTGAGAAAGCCGCGAAATCGGGATCGGCGAATAGCGGGACGTGTCCTAATAACTCGTGGGCCACATCGGGCTCAGGTGTGTAGAAAGGTTGTGAATGGTGACGTACGTATTGTGTGCTGTGGAAGACCCGGAAGGCTAATCCATTTAAGAAATCTCGCGATGATAGTAGGCCGGCAACCGGTCGAAGGCGGAAACCGGTTTGTGAGTGTAAGAAATCGGAGATATCTTGTAATTGAGGGATATTATTCTCACCATAACCGCAGTACTGTTCAAGCTGTAGATAGAAGTGTGTACAAAGTGAGCCAAACGAGTACAAGCACACCAAAACTAGAACAAAGTAAACACTGCCAATAAAATGCACAACTTAGCAAAATGCGCACATAATTCACGTCAACCCATATCACTGTAAAACTGAACATGTGTATTCATATTTTCCATGTAAAAACCGATTCGAGTGAACACGCGGACATTTAACATACCAAGGGAAGCGCCTTAACGTGCTCTTTGCATGCGTGAGTAGGGTAAAGATCCGTCAATCTCTTGTACACCTTTCCCCAAGTTTCGATCTCGACGTCAGTGTATTCTACTCGAGGAATTTTTTCTCCGCTGCAAAAAAGGTGCACTACCGATTAGGAGATGAAATGATAATAAAAGTGCCATACCCAACATAACGAACATAGCTAAACTACAGGATGCGTATAGACCACAATTAGTAGACATCTATGGAGTTCGCCAACAGATGCAGCGAACACGAGATACAGAAATGGTAGTACCTCGACCAGCAACCGTGCAATTGAACATTCTACTTGTTACAAAGAAATAATTTCCTCTAGTACCAGTAGAAGGGACGAAATTCATACTGTATTAAGTAATAAAACCTGAACATATCACACAACTACACTATGCCCATATACACGCACAGTCCTTCGTATATGCTTGTACAAACACACGAATAAAAATGTCACATACTGTTTATAGGAAGTTGCATTTTCGGTGATAGCACAGCGGCGCTTGCGGTACTCCATGTCCGAGAATCCAGGATGATCAGCCTTCAACTCCTTGCCGAATTCCAACGTGTGTGTAGCGAAACGATCCAGATCGCTAATCTTCTGAGGGAACCAGGGGGTGTCTGCAGCCTCTTGGTTTCCAATGATAGTCACGGTATCACAAATATTCTCCAAACCCGCACGGATACTGTCCATGTTCTCCATGTTCGCGCTTTGCATCACATCTACGAAGAAATCGAACTGGTCCTTCTCCTACGTGATAAACCAGAATCGAAAATGATGCGACAGATGAGTATTGACATAATGCATATAATGTGCAAATTTACACTATTTTGAGATAGCTCAGTCCTTAACTAGCAAATTAATAACCAATGATTGTGATGCGAGCAACAGAATTAATGTATTCGTATCGGGGCTATAGTGGTGCTTTCAGATTCACATGATTACGTTAAGGCCGTAGAATACATTGACCACATTTTGACCAAATGACCGACATTTGTTATATCGATATAAATGACAATATCGACTTCAACCTAAACTGATTTCTGTGCTTGTAGCAGCATTTAAACAAGCGTGTGCTTAAACAACGCCGTCAGGAAACTTCACACAGAAATGGTCGCTTATCTCGGCTAGGCGATAAAAATTTTCTACAACCGCACCATTCAAATAGAGCATACCTGGTAAATCCCAACCACTAATTGCCGTCGAAAAAAACAACATGTACACTCACAGCCTACTCAGTTGCATCACATTACCAGCGATGCTACGAAAACCGTTATAAAACGGATGCAAGTGTTTTAAAATTAAACTCGAAGATTGTCACTCATATACCCGACGCACACACTTGCAGCTGAATACTAGCGATAACCCCAATAGAATGGTTACGTATATAAATATTAACACTTACCAAAGCAGACGGACGAGACTCGATATGAGCCAAGGTCAGGCCCTCCTTAGAGAAGAAGCCCAGAACATCCGCTAGAATGCCTACTTTCTCCTTGCAGGAAAGGATCATTGACACGCGCTTAGGGCGATTGAGCTCCAGGTATGAAGAGCCAGTGCTGACTTTTGAATCTTTTGCTTCTACCATCTTGGAATAAGAATACGAATTGGAAATAAGATAACAACTAATAGTTGTTCTGATTGTAATGCAGAAGTGTTGAGTGATCGACTATGTGTTGACTGTCCTCTTTTATATTCGTTTGATATTTTAGTTGATTCAAGTTGTCCTACAAATAACCTGTTATGAGTTCCGACGAGTAATTCACAACGTTGTTGCGAGCATTCCTTATTACATTATGATGTGATCCCATCGTTTTAAGAAAATGCTTTCTCATCTGGCCGTGTCAAAAAAATCATGCGCTGATACAAATAGCCCCTGTAGCCTGTAGGTCATCCTTGTTGTCAGAACTGAGAACTAAATATTTACTATCTCTTCATCATACACAAGCAAGCCGCAAGGTACCACATAGGAAACATTGAAATATTGAAAAGCTTTACGTTGAATTTCGTCCATTGTCCAATAATTGCTGGCATGCGCTGGTTTCACCACCAATCATAAAAGTTAGGCAGCGTCATCACTATTCTAATTATAGATTACTCGGATTCATTTCGAGCAAACAGAAGTCGGTACTATCTCTATGTATGGAGCACACAATGAGAAACCGGGGTCTTCCGGACCCCTATGTTCCAGTTCAGGAGAATGGGAGATCTCGAAAAAAAAATCTCAAATCGGGTTTTCTCAACGGATTTGGGCTTATCTCATCCTCATAAAAAGGATGAGCTGGTTGATTTTTTGGTACGACCAATATTTCAAACAAACAAAAAATTATTTATAAAATTGATTTGGCCATACACCCAAAATCGACCTTTTTGAGGCTAACTAACGTGTTGCAATATCGATAGAGCTTCAAACTCTTCGGATTTGGACTCCCTATCAGGGATTCACCCAAGTCAACAATTCTCAGAATATTCTGACGGTCAATATTCGAAGCAGAATTCTCAAATAAAGCTATATTCAGCTTGACATTTTGAAATTTTGCAGTGGCCAAGGTGGTGACCCAGATTTCTGGGGCACGAAATATAGTGATTTGGCCGATTTCTGTTTATTGCAGTTTTAGATAGCTCTCCAAAAGCCAAATGTCAAAAAAATTATCGTTTGGTTCAAAAGTTATGGACGTTCAAAATCTGACCGGAAGACCCCGGTTTCCCATTGTGTGCACCTTATGTATGTAGTAAATACGTAACGACAATGACACAATTTTTAGACAAGTACTACACTATGCTTGACTGATTGCAATACCACATGATTTCGATTCTGTATATAGTCAAATATGTAGTTCAAATAGATTCGAACAGAAATCGTATGCGTGGATTGACGTGAGGAAACCCCATGCATACGTCAATTATGTATATACGTTGTTTTGAAAAGTTCATTGCATATATTTCGCAAAAAAAAGGAACATTTTAGCCAAAAACAATCAGCTATATAAGTGTGTACCAGCGGATGTACTCATACGTATATATATATATATATCAGTGCATGTTAAATATATATATATATATATGTGTGTGTGTGTACCAGCGGATGTACTCATACGTATATAAATATATATATCAGTGCATGTTAAATATATATATATATATATGTGTGTGTGTGAGCGAGTGTGTGTGTTTTTATACATTTCTAGCAGTATATATCACTAAGGTGTGTTTGCTTGGATGTTAATGTTTGTAAAACTCGAGCAGTATATATCACTAAGGTGTGTTTGCTTGGATGTTAATGTTTGTAAAACTACTCACACATGAACACACACAAAAATACATATGTAATTATCTAATCGCGACAGCACTCAAATTCTATCAAAAGGTACGAGAGGTTGTTATTATGTCATATAGCAGGCACTACTGTCAGAGCCTTCAGCTGCTGATTAGAGAACTCCATGGTATCGATCGATCCTGAAGGTGCTATTGAGGTGTTGTGCGTATGTGTTGCAGTAGTGACTTTGGGGATTAGTGCAGTGGAGATTACGAAAACTTGTGCTGCGCAGGATAAAATGATCTACCGTTCATCATGCATTAAAATTCAGTGATTATTCAAGGATAACGCATAGAACCCCTTCTTACCACCGTCTTTAAATCGGGTGTTTAGGTGTGTTGGAATGACTTTTACCCACCATAATATATCAAATAAATGAACGAGAAACGCCTCTCACATTAAATACACCGGGTACATCTATATTAATCAAATCCGAAAACTTTTTATACGCAGGATCGAAATGATCTACATTAACGTCTACCATATGCTGGAATTCAATGGGTTTTCAAGGTCTATAAAAAATACACGGCCATAGTCATTAGATCTAAAATGCGATAAAGATAAGTGTTGAAGAATGACTTTAACCACAGCTTATGAAAACCGTCAACCATCAAATATAATAAACGAGAAGCGCGTCATTCTCACAACACCACGAGTAACTATTTAATCCAAATCCGAGTCACCCTATTCCTCCTGTCCAACTCCGGGGTGCCGTTTAAAACTCCTACCATATGAACCGTGCCAGAGGGGTGCGTGTATGTGTGTGTGTGTACGTCCAACATGTCCCACTCAGTACGGTCGGTCTCGGCGGTCTGATCGCCTATCCTCCCGATCTCTATCTCTGCCACCATAACCACCACCACCACCACCACCACCACCACCATATCCGGAATTACCGCCGCTGCCTCTGTCATAGTAGCCAGAGTTTCCACCGCTTCCACGGTCGTTGTTCCCGGAGTTGCCCCCACTACCCCTGTCGTAGCCGCCTGAGTGTCCGACGAATAGAAATGGGATGTGAATTCAACACAACTACTGATGTATGTGTAGTGTGATTTATTGTGTATAGGAGGGATGCATACACAGTTCGAGTGTACCTGCGTATCCGTATGTGTTTTTTATGGGTCACTTTATTTTAATACACTAAAATTACTATGATTGTGTGTCAAGCTCCCCATTAACAAACAAGGCAAATGGGAAAATGGTCATCGTGTCAGACTAACTTTCCTAGGGATACACAAGCGATCAAAATGACCTGACGCATATCTTCATGAACACCTTTACGACAATCAACGCTACAAGAATAAATCTCGCAAGCAAAATAGAACGGACACAATACCGATCTGCACGGGAGATTTGCATGGAAATGATTTACAATCCTACTGAATTGACGCACGATATACAGCTACATCGCGCATATACCAGTCATCACGCAACACCGATTCTATTTCAAAACTTAGACGAAGTACTGCGTAACCCACCACCATAACTTACACTCAAGTCACTATCAACCATACCATCCACTCACAGCTGGATGAAATCCCACACATTATACAGCTACTGCTCACATACCCGTCGGAACAAACATACCTCCTCGACCACCACCGCCTCTGCTACCGCCGCCCCTGCCGTAGCCACCTCCACCCCCACCTCCGGGTTTCGGTGTGCCACATTTGTTGCATTCTGTTCGCTTGGCGAAGTTACTGTTTCCACACCTATTTCAATAAAATAGAAACGAAAAGTTTGCAATTTCAAACTATGCACAAATCACTTTAAAGAACTGTTTTTACCATTTATGTGCCTTGAATAGGATGTACACAAGGCCAGGACAAATTGCGCCCCGAATCTGGACATGACTAATAATCCGCCAAGCCAAGACGGCAAAAAAAAATGCATCTTGGCTAGAGATTGCCAGGCCTTTAAGAAATACAAGCGCTCTGCCATTAAATAGGCCTAACAAACAAATAACAACAATAAATAGACGCATCTTAAACGGACCCCACCGCCACCGCCACCGAACCCAATCCCTGATTTAGGGGTTGGCACGATAAGAGATTCCTTATTTCTGACTGTCACAAATACCATCATACTGTAAGAGATTGCCACACTCTTTGCCACACTATAAGCGACTGTCACAAGTAAGGCACACGTATAAGATACACCGATACTTAACACTTCCAACAACTCGAATTAACCTCCATTTTCGATCACAAACACGTGATACAGCCGATAATCCCACTGCCTCCAAAGGCCCGGACATACCCTGAATTCGGGCACATCCAATCGTCTGCAAACCGGCCGCCGCCACCACCCCCGCCCCCGAAACCACCTCCACCTCCAGGTTTGGGAATGCCACACTTATTGCATTTGAAGCGTTTGGCAAAGTTCACGTTACCACAATCAGGACAGTTCCAGTCCTCACCGCCGGGGCCACCACGCCCACCACCACCACCGCCCCGGCCCTGGTTGGGAATAGAGATGAAAAACCGTATGGTTAAGCAAATAGGATACGAGTGATCACGACGAAGTGATCTGGACCAAGTAGAATCTATTTGTATGTATATACCTTCCCGAGAACGCAATGACAAACATATTTGACCATGATCAAACCGTTTTATGACCTAGTGCATAGAGAATACGTCGACTTAGGCCGGTCATGTGCATAGTCACTGCCAAATGCTGAATCTACACAGCAACCTTCCGAAAGGAACCAAATCTCACGCTTGGAAAATGATAATGACAGCTAAGAAATAGGCAAGCATTGCAGTCGTGGCTTAACAGATAGACAACCAACAGCATAAGCCTACACTGTTCCTGTGGTATTCGTATACCTGGAGCTAGACTAAATACATCGATGCCGCAAATTGACCAGAACAACAACAGCTATATCTACCTAGACACCTAACTGCAGCCAATACAACATCAGAACAAAAGCAAATTTATACATGAAGCATACCGTCCAGTAAACAAACACATACACGTGACCACCGAATCGCAAGCGTCCAAAACATACCCCCCCACGGCCACCACGACCACCTCCACCACGACCCCCACCGTCCCAGGCTTTCCTCTTTGCAAGCGCAACGGTCAGAATCAAATCTGTATCGGCAAATTTCTTGCCTATTTTGTTGGAAGCTTAAGGTGAGTTTAACGCGGACTTCTTCTTTGTAACGTGCACGTGCGACATAACAACCATATACCAGGTACAAACCATATCGGAATCGGCAAATGACAATCTTGTGCGTGTTTCAAAGGTGATGTCGAGTGGAGTGAATGCACGAATACCGGTATACTATATGACATGCATGAGCAAAGCCCAAAAACTTTGGAAGGTCAACACCATATCCGTATCGGTCGTGAAAAGGCAGACGAGTTAAATGAATACGGCTGTAAAGCTCGCACGAGGGATAAACTACACATCCCGCGCAAAGTGGTCAATGGTATATTCATCTCGGCGAAATTATTAGTGTGTCGTTGGGTATAGCAAGTGAATTCAACAGTATTGCTACAATGCTTCATACACAGCCGATCGTGATGTATGCGTACATAAGGAAAGAAAACAAGAACTCATCATCAGTACTAGACGCACTCGACAATAGAGCGAGGAATAGGCCTCCCAACGGCATATATGCACAAGCAAACAAATGCGCTAACAAACCCCAACAAAGGTTTCTGGTCTGGTATGACAATCTAGAGAACAGCAATATACTCTGTGCCTTCACTTGTAAATTTCGCAATTTACACTGCAATCATGGTTGACAATTCACAGCACACACACGAAGAACACCTCGAAAAACTATAGAACATACCGTTAAACCACTCAATCGCCATAGGTGCCGTTGGTGGGTCATCGTAAGTTACAGTACATTCTCCCTTTCCTTCGCCTGTCTCCTTGTCTGTGTACATCCAGATTTTCGGCTCACGCTTGCCTTTATCCCACTGTGAGACGAGTGTCCACAAAAAAAGTAAATACATGTCACTGTACATGAATGAAATACAATATACAACGCATATATATATAAATATATATATATATATATATATATATATATATATAGTATATATATTATATATAATAT